TCAGGTCGGTGAAATCAATACACACCCTCCAGTCCCCATTGTTTTTCTTAACTAGGACAGGGTTGGCAATCCATTTCATTGCTTCTCTAATGAACCCGTTTTGGAGCAGTCTTTGTACTTCTTTATTTAGGGCCTCATAACGTTCTATATTCAAGGGCCAGAGCCGTTGTTGTTTTGGTCGAATCAAAGGGTCAACTCCCAATTTATGGCTCATGATTTTTGGGTCGATTCCCTTCATATCGAAGTGCTCCCAAGCGAAGACGTCAAGATTTTCTTGAAGGAAACTAATGATCTGGCTTCTTAGTGGAGGTCACAGTTCATGACCGATCTTAAGTTCTTAATGGAGATCGTTAGTACCGACCTCAATGGTGTCCAGTTCTTCCATAGGTTCTCCTCCCCACACTTTCATTCGTGGGTCCAAAGAGCTCGTTGAGGGCTCCTTCGTGCACACCACATAGATCCCCGAGGGGTAGTAAACCCTTTCTCCTTTTGAATTGATGACCATTTGATATCTTTGAGCAACGTCTTTGTCTCCTTTGACATGTCTCATACCATGACGAGTAGGAAATTTGATAGAGTAATGGTACATTGATACTATTGCTCTAAGATCGAATAGTAGTAGTTGTCCCATGATAGCATCGTTGGGGGACCTTGCGTGCATAATTACAAATTCCGCATTCAATTTGACTTGGCGAGGGTATTCCCCAAATTCAATAGGAAGTTTAATTATTCATTTTGCTCCAGAAAGTATTCCGTCAAGCCCCATGACCATGTGTGGGTATGGTTGCAAAAGACTGAGTAGAATTCCAATTTGTTCCAATGTGTTAGCATAAAGTATGTTAAGAGAGCTCCCTGTATCTACCAAGACTCTGGGAATGTTGACTTTGGACAGAAGCACAGGGATAACAAGAACTCCGGGGTAAGGGTTGGGATCAGCCTCTTTTTCCTCGAACAGGAGCAGATCGTCATTCACTTTCCTGCGGTGTTTTTCTGTAATGCTAATCTCAGTAAGGTCAGCCATAATGGGCCTTTTGAACTTTGAGACTCATGCTTGGTGGGAGTGCTGGCTCTTCAGCATTAGAACCTGGGGATTAGGTAAGTCGACATTACAGATTCTAGCCTTCTCCTGGTTCCCGCGTATCACGCCTGGACCACTTGATGTTGGGAACTTGAGACAATAGTGGTATATTGATGTAGCAGCTTGTAGCTCATGCAAGATGGGCCTTCCTAGTATGGTATTGTATTTTTGAAGGTAGATCCACAACAATGANATGAAGTCCGCCAAAATCCTCCTTTAGCATGGGGGTTTGCCTATCTCCACGCTGAGCACGATTTGTCCGCGGGATTCAATAAGGTCTCCTGAAAACCCTTGCGATCTTCTAGAATATGGCCGAACGTACCGTTCAAGTATTTCCATTTGTTCCAAAGTTCTAGAGTACAAAATGTTTACCGAACTCCCATTGTTTACTAAGGTTCAGCGTATTTGTACCCCCGCGACGGTCATGGCTATGACCAACGCATCACTTTGATCTTGAAGAATCCCCCGCAATCTCCTTCAGAAAATCCAAAACCATTCTAGGTGTGGTGAGGCGTAGACCTCCAAGTCTGGCGGTGCTACACTATAATTTTGCCATACGCGAGCATTGCGTGCCATCCTGCGCCGAGCTCTTCGCGATCCTTCCAGACATTGATTTCCACTTATCAGCATTTTAATCTCAGGTCGGTGTTGGGTATCATGAGTTTGAGGCCCTGGTCGACCTTGAGAGACTATCCTTTGTTGGTTAGGATGTTGAGTCCCTATGGAATTTGCCTCTCTAGGTTTGGCTACGAACTCTTGTAAGTGACCTCGTCGAATGAGGGACTCCACCTCTTTTAAATTTTGACAATTATCAGTATCATGTCCCGTTGATCTGTGGTAACGGTAGTACTTCCCTTGGTGTTTGCCAGCAGATTCCTTTTTTTGAGGCGGAGGTCCGCGAAAGGTCTTCTTTCCCCTACCTGTAGGAACACTTCTTCCAATGTTGCGTTCAAAGGATGATATTCGCGAAATTTGTCGGGATACAGCTTGGAGCGACCTTGATCCCTTTTGTCCCTCCCTTTATCTCGACCTGAATCTTTATCTGTTTGCTTTCCCTTGTGTCTTTGTGGGGACTGTGGGGCGTGCTTGACATCATCCTGGTCTGACGTGGCTTCCTCCACACTTATGTATTTCTCAGCTCGGCCTAAGAACTCGTGGTATGTTCGAGGTCCATCTACATGAACAAACCACCAAAACCTTGTGTTTGGTCTTAACCCTGAAAGAACTACCATTAGCGTGACATCATCAAAGATCTTTTCTACCTCCATGGACTGTTTGTTGAACATGTTTAAGAAGCTTTTGAGGGATTCGATTTTTTCTTGCTTTTTGCTTACCAACCTCTCCTTAGGTGTGATCCTTGCTTTGAAGCCCGTAAACTGAGCTAGGAAGGCTGTGGTGAGGTCATTCCAACTTTTTATCGACCTCTGGTGCAACCTTCTAAACCACCTTTGGGCTTTATCCCCCAAAGTTAAGGGAAAAGCCTGACACATTATGGCGTCTCCAGCCCCTTGTAATTCCATCCATGAGGCGTATTTATCCAAATGGCTGAGGGGGTCTCCTTCCCCGTCATTCCCGGTCAACTGTGGCATTTTTAGTTTTTCAGTCAGTGGTTCTGCCAGAATGTCCTCGGTACAGGGGGGATGACTCTTTGTGAGGTATTCTTCCGTGCCTCCTCTTTTTTTGGCTTCCAAATCAACTATGTACTTCCTGAGAACGCGAGGCTCATCGTTTTTATTTGGGGGTGTTAGTGAGTGTTGGGAGCCTAGCCTATTGAATACATTATTTGTTCTCCTGGCAGTCGGTTTGTCGTGCCAGGAGAACTTCTGACCTCTTCAGTTCGGTCTTTAGAAGATTCTCCACTCGAAAACTGGAGAGTCCTTTTAGTGGGAGGTCACCTAGTTCTTTCTTGTTGAGGTGGTTCCACTTCAATGTCCTGCAGTGGATTTTGAGCTTGTTTTTGCTCCAGTCGACTGACAAAGTTTGTCAGTTTTTCAATGGCCTCCTTCATGGCCACCATTTGAGGATCAAGAGCTCCATTGTAGCATCGTCTCTCAATGTTTGCTAGGTTACTGGTTTGTTCGAGGCAAGTATGGGATCGATTTCCAGATACTGAAAATTCGTCCATTGTACTGGTTTGCTGATTTTGTAGAGAGATGGGGCTATTTTCCCAAGTCGAGCCCCTCCTTCTAACGCCAAACTGTTGACGTTGAAATTTGAATGAACGATATTCAAGCCAACTTAATGAAAGAAACGTGGATTTTTTATTTAAATAATCAAGGGTTTACAAGAATATGATTCAATCCCCTTCTTTTCCTAGTAATAATAGGAGATATTTGAAGTATGAGAATATACTGGGAGTTGATGTATGTTTCTTGTTCACGTTTTTTCCTTGCCTTCATTTGGGCTTTGGGGTCCCTATTTATAGAGAAAATATGCATGCATGCTGCACCTCCTGTCTTGTCGCTAGAATTTCGAGTTGGATAAGTACAGTAGTTGGTGCAATAAGATTAGCTGCCGAGTTGGATTCTGTCAGAGTACCTCATAGCATTAATTGAAAGTGGCCCCCAGCAATTAATGCATTATTTAATAGGGAATGCTAACATTTCTTATTGGAGGATTATGGGGTGTTGATGACAGGTCTCTCCAGCAGTAATTCGATGATTGGTGGCTCATATATCGTGTCAAAGATCTCTTAATCATTACATTTACCCTTTCCTTGGAAGACTACACAAGCTTCTCGCAGAAGGTTACCACCTCCGAGCTGACCTCACACAACCGAGCTCAACATATGTTCTACCTATGATGTGGATCAATCCGACCTCAACCACCTTGGAGGTCGGTGTCAACAGAGGGAAAAATGACAATAAAATGGTGAAAATTAGTATGGAAAATATCATCAAAATTGAAAGGCATCTAGAATCACTATTTTGGCATGAAAACTCACAAAATTGGCACTTAGGTTGTGGCAAATAATCCCCTTCCATTGTGATTAGAGGGACCATTGGAGTTCAAGAAAATTGTAGATTTAGAGTTTTGGAAAGTAGTGTGATTCAACCATTCAAAAAATCTTGAAATT